ACAGACTTTGAAGCGTGTTCCCACATTGCACTTTATCATATGAAGCTGTCCTCTCCAACTTATGTTCTGCTGAATAGTAACAGACCACCAAAAGCCTGTGGATGTTTCAGCTGTTTCATCTAGAGTAACAATGATTCAATCACTCCCTTCACTTTCACTGCTGTCAGAAATAGAAGTGCATTTTGCATTTGCTTCAGTTTGTGAAAGCACAAAGAACTACATTTCTACAGATTGGAAAAAGCTCATTTCAGGATGTGGGGATTTTTGAAACTCATTATATCCAATCTCACTTGAACCACAAAGTGGATAAAAGGAATAGCTGACCAATTCCCTAACAGTAGTATTGATGTGTGTGTGTGTGTAGAGCCAATAAAGCAATTATGTTAAAGAAATATGCTAGATTTGGTTTATGAAGAAACAATACTGCTCATCTTACAAGCCTTTTAAAAACAAATCTAAAAGCTTTTGTTTACTCCTTCATTTCACATCATGGCATAGGGTTAGTATAACAGCATTTAAAATGAATGGGAATTAACTCAATGCATCATGGATGAATCTAGGCAACATGTTACATACAGAAGTTTCTTCTGTCCATGGAAGACTCTTAATCCAAGGTGAGGGATCCCTCTGTGGAAGCAGTTATGAGAAAGAGATACCTCTATTTCCAGCCCTCTACAAGTTCTAGGAAAGTACAACTGACAGCAGGAAAAGGGGATTTGGAGAAAGTGCCTCCTCATCTACTGACATATCTGTAAGTTATTCCCACCACAATACAAGTGTGTATGTGTGCATAACTCTGTATATACACATATATGCTCATTCACTCTTTCTATACACACACACACATACACACACAAATGCATTTTACAAACTCCATATTCTCATTCCACATTCTGCATATCTTGCTTTTTAAAAAACTGATAACAAATCAAAATAATTAACTATAGGCAGATTAAAGGTTCATAAAGAATTAAATTGTCAACTTACTAAGAAAGGAATATTCATTGCCTAATGGGCTTTACCTGTCCTAGAAACATTTTTGAAATGAAACAAAAAACAAACCTATATGCAATCTGTTCTGATATCGCTGCTTCCAATTGCATATATGCCAATTCCTGAATGAAGTATCATGGAGAGACCCCAAAGAGCTTATGGGAAAGCTCTAGGGGACAATTATAAAATTTTAATAGCACATTTTTTCCTTTAAAAAACAAAATCCAACATAAATATGACTTGAGAAAGAACAAACATGAACTTGGATAAAAATAATTATGATGGGGAAAGCTCAGTTTGGGTCTGCATATTTAAAGCAGAATATCAATGTTATTAAAATGTTAGATCCTAGTCAAGTTATTACTTTTCACTGCAAGGGTAAAACAGAAGAACAAATTCTAAATCAATATATTGGCTTTCAATTATAAATTGCTAGCAGTTTACCAGTTGAAAGGAATGTGTCAGAATTTCCATTTCAATTCATAGCAGTAAACAAAGATTACATATTTAATAGGCGAGAGTACTTTTGCTTTTGCTAGAGTAAAATGTACCCACAGGTACTTGTAGAGAAAAAAGGAACAGTGTTTCTGTGACCCCTTACTGTACCATATTCTAAGCACCAAGGATCATGCTTCAAAATGAATCTAATTATGATGATAGCTTCCCCTTGAGGGCCAGAACAAGTCCCTTGCCATTAAGACATACACTGTAAGTCTCAAGGCACTTAAGGGGTTAAGACAAAATGCACACATTCATTCCCATTAGATAACATCATGTTTCAGATCACACTGCTGCTGTAATATGCTGAGAAACAGAAACAGAACTAGTAGTCCATATACCAACTAAACAAAATGCTGGTTCAATGGGCCATTATGCAGCTATTATTGGATTAGATCAAACTGCAGCCTTCCATTAGTAATCAGGTTAGATTCTAGAAGGGCACAGGGAGAAATGTGCTGTTTCAGTAGGCAGTGTATCTAATAGAAGGGATATTGCTAACATTTCACCAAAATAAAAGGTGGCAAATAACATGACAAATTTAGCATTGGAAGAAATAGCTTTGCATGTATTGTTGTTGCTTCAGAAACAGATAGGTGTCAAACAAAGATGAAAGTATTCCAAGCTTTTTTTTTTCTTTTTTGTAGCATTTCAAACAAAAGGGTTATATGGCACTACAACCAAGTCTGGAAAATTATCCAGAACTCATGGAGTTCATTCAGTCTGTGGCTTGTTTGAAGCAAAGCATGAATGGAGTCTTTCAACACAGAAAAATCATAGTGTTCTAGAGACTGATTTTCAGTTTCAACTTAAAGTGCAATAGTGCTGAAGTCCTTTTTAGTTCTTCATTATTTTCTGACACCATTTCTTGCAAGCAACATTATAGCACAAGTGCAGCTTGTGTCTTATAGATTCTTCTCTGAAAGGTATCTTTTGCTTTCTATTTATGCAGTGATGTCTTTAAAGGCCTAACAAGTTCTTCTTTGTACACTTTCAAAATAGCCTCACAAACGAATCTGTACTGACTCTGGAAAAGAAAAGTGAAAATATTTGTATGTCAGAACAAAACAATTTTAAAGATTAACAGTAAACTTTCAAAATACCATGATAAACTATTAAAATATTTAAATATCTAAAACTCTTAACACCAAAGAGAAATGCTATATTCAGAATATAAATCCCACACTCTTAACTTTTAAGTAGCAGATCTGAAACCTTCCAACTCTGAATATGTTTTGTATGCCTTATGCTTAACACTTTATTAATTACTCTTATTGAATAGTAGAATGAAGAACTCTAGGTTCTTTTTTTTTTTTAAATACACAAAACTGTTTATTGCTTGCTCTAGGAACTACTTTCCAAATTAAAAAATAGGCTAAACGCAAACAACATTCAGGGTAATATTCAATACTGTAGTTTCTGCTATTTTCTGGAATATAATTTTCAGCTGTGCACAAAAATCAAGAATTTTGATTCTGTCTGCACAAACCATTAGCTCATCATGATTTCATTAGCTAGGTGTTGCTTAATGAACTATACTGGTTTTATTAGTGTTTCTGTAACATTAGTGTAAAAATCTTGTTTTTTTTCCCATCCATCCTGAAGGCCATCCATAGATTTCCTCTACTGAATGTATGAAAGTGTGCTATGGAGTAGAAGAAAAATGTCTGAAGTGCCCAGATAATCTTCCCAGACTTGACAATGTACTGGCCTGACATTCCAAGCTTTAATAAATAGTATTCAATTCCAAGAGCTACTATTTCAGGTTTTAATCTGTATATATTAATTACTGATATAGTATGTCTGAAGTAAAATATGTGATTGTGATAGAGTACTGTTTTTAATGGCATAGAATGAATCTAGAAATCTAATTCAAATACTGTACAGGTTTTAAAACAAGAACAATGAAAAACAGGACAATGCCACCTTGTGGACATTATGTGGAAATGTGAACATTTGCAAAGGAAAATTCAACTCATTCAGATTCTAATTTTACTAGTACCATATAGTTGAAACAACAGTTTACCTTTTTAATATGTATTTTAAATTCACTCTTAAGTTTTAATGCAAAGTTCATCCTCTCACAAATTCTAAATACAGTGAAGCATGGGTACTGGCTTGCTTTGAAACAAGCATATATAGTATGCACCTTGATCCAGAAAAATATCTTAGCAAAAACATTTCCATCCATAGATTTCCTCTACTGAATGTATGAAAGTGTGCTATGGGGTAGAAGAAAAATGCCTGAAGTGCCCAGATAATCTTCCCAGACTTGACAATCAGCATGGCTAGGCAAACAGAAAGGTTTTAATGAAGGCACTGAAGTGCACTTCTTTTCATAACTGTAATACATGACTGATACCTGTTTGAGAGAGGGGACTTATAAGTGTTATAAAGTCACTGATTTTCTCTTTGTTCGTATGTGTCTTTCGCCCCTAAAAATTAATAGCTGACTCACTAGTAAACTCTTTGAATTAAAGCCTGTACTTTTATGAGGACATTATATCCTGAGCCAAACATTATAAAGGAATACACACCATAGAAAAGTTGTGAGTAATACAAGTAGCCAAACAGAACTAGCATATATTTTCAGTTGTGTGCAGGAAACTGTTTTGTCCATTAGCAAACATTTTTGCTTTTAGGAAATTATAGGTAAGCTGCAACGTGATATACACAGTTTTTGAGATTAAATTCCACAGAATAGAAGAATCTAGCATGTGTTCAAACATGAAGTCTTGCTTAGCATACTTATATGCAAAACAAACATAGTTGCATACCTTTGGGGTTGAACCCACAAAAATGAAAGCAACAGTGCATGCCTACAGCTGGGCTTTTCTGCCTTCTTCTACCTCCTTAAAATCTACCCAGCTGTTAGAAGAATGTGGTATGAAGCAAAGAAGCTGCAGTAAGAGGGAGAACTGGCAAAATTCAAAAGAATCATCTTGGGTAAGGAGGGTTTTTTTTACTTGCGTCTGCTGTCTTAAGGCAGTATCCTTTCACCATATGTGACTGCATAATCTGGAAAAGCTTTTGGACTATATAAATACAAGTCTGATTATGCAACTGAGCACTACAAAACCTTTGTTGAATGACATGCTTAAACATGGTTTAAAATTATTTCAGATGGTCTTTTCTTGGAGATTTAACTTCCTATATAAAAATCACTGTCCTGGAATGCAGTATAAAACAACTATCCATAATGTATACCAATAAGACTTTGGTGGTATTACTGCTGGTCACATAGTCAGCCATATGTTTAGACTGGATTTGGCATTTTTATCCACCTATCGAGTCCTTCCCAAGGACCTGGGATAGGCAGATGATGTTGTTTGATGATGTTAAAGGTATTGTCGGAGGATGTAAGCTGTTCCAAGTAAGGCTGCCTTTTGCAACTGACTGATGGTGGTTTTGTCAATGCCGATGATGTTCAAATGGTGCTCCAGGTGTATTAGGATTGCACCCAAGGCACCTATTACTATTGGTACTATCTTTGCTTTCTTTTGCCACAGTCATTGTATTTCTA